CCCTGGGTAGAGTGCCATGGCATCACAGCTCACAGCAACCTCCAACTCCTGGGCTCAAGTGAGTCTCCTGCCTCAGCCTCCCAAATAGCTGGGACCACAGGCACCTGCCACAACGCCCTGCTACTTTTTGGTTGCAGCCATCATTGTCGTTCGGAGGTCCCAGGCTGGATTCGAACCCGCCAGCTCTGGTATATGTGGCTGGCGCCTTAGCTGCTTGAGCCTAGCAGACCTTGTTTATTTTCTAAATAACTCCTGATACTCTCTACTTTGTCCTACCTTCTTGGCTCTACCCTGGTCCAAGCCCCTACTTCTCTCTCTGAATAACTTTATGGCTTCCCCATTAGCCTTCTGCTTAAAAACTGCTTAAAATCTATACTCCAGGCTGCTACCACAGTCAAATTCTAGAATATAAATCTGACCATGTCCCTCCTCATGGTTCCAAGGCCTGACATGATTTGGCCCTTGGCCACCTGTTCAATCTTTCTCTGATCTTTTCTCCCTCTTCCATCACTAAACTTAGAAATTTGGGCTTCTTTACTACTCAACAAAATGAACTGGGTTCATTCCCATCACCTTTGCAGTTGTTCTTTCTTCTGCTTGGAATGCCCTCTCCCCAGATTTTCACATGGCTGACTGTCTTCATTTTATTCGGGGACCTTGGAAAATCTTGCAAAAACAGGTTCTGGACATTGCTCACTTTTGCCCTATGACACAGCTTCTTTCATCTGTGAACAGTCAGACTTGATAAACTGTCACTGGGGGAGCTCAACTCTGAACGTCTGGGTTTTCTATTGCTAGGAGAAAATGCATATAAGTTATAGGCAGAGGGAGAGAAACATGAGTCTTCACATCTTGTCTAGGTCTTAAGAATGTTTGCATGCTTGTAAAGTTCTGTGTTGAGCAAAATAGGAAACTCTTTTCTCACTGTAAGTTAGTTGTCATTACTAACAGTCATTTTAGGAGTCAAATGACAATGAAGGCTACTTCTTTTTCTTTTTCTTTTGAGACACAGCCTCACTTTGTCGTCCCTGGTAGAATGCCATGGTGTCACAGCTTACAGCAACCTCAAACTCTTGGACTCAAGTGATTCTCTTGCCTCAGCCTCCCAAGTAGCTGGGACTAAAGGTGCCTGCCATGATGCTCAGCCATTTTTTTTTTT